GAGTAATCTATGAATCATGTGTTCATAATGATATGGGAGTAACCTATGAACTTTATGGTCATAATGTTTGGTGGAGTAATCTATGAACTATGTGTTCATAATGATAGGTGGAGTAATCTATGAACCATGTCTTCATAATGATATGTGAGTAACCTATGAACTTTATGCTCATAATGATTGGTGGAGTAATCTATGAACCATGTGTTCATAATGATTGGTGGAGTAATCTATGAACCCTAGGTTCATAATGAAATCTTGAGTAGTCCATGAACTACAAATTCATAATGATCTTTGGAGTGGAGTAATATCTATAAACAACATGTTCATAATGATAGTGTTGTTCCCGGTTATACAAGGAACAGTTTAGAGGGGGGTGAATAGATTGTTCTGTTTTTTAACTTTTCAAGCTAAGTACCAAGGTTAACAGAATAGCCTGTTCTGTTGAAGAACAGACTGGCATCAGATGGTCTTTTGGTAATGGTTCTGTCCGGTCAGCCTCACAGAGGTGCAAAGGCAATAGGCCTTCTGTTAACTCACAAGATGGATTCTGCTGGACATAGAGACCAAGTCTTTGGAGTTAAGCAGTATGGGATAAATACAAGTATTAAAAGCAGTAAGTAAAAGACACAGAGGATTTTTATAGTGGTTCAAGGAACAACTCGTTCTTTTAATCCACTATTCCACCAAGCTTGTAAAAACACAATTACACAGCCTTAGTCTTAGCATTTAAGAAGCTCTCCGCGTCTTTTTCAAGTTTCCTTGAATTATCCTCACTTCACTACTCAAGTTACTTTAAGACGCCCTTCTTTAGAAGAAGATTGTTTAGAACAGGATTTTCTCCAACTTGCTTCGTTACAAAAGATATGTAGTTGAGGTGTTTGAAGTGTTGAAGAACTGTAGGAACTTTGCACTAGGTTGGATATGGAAGATGTGGGAAAAATATCTTTTCCAACTTAAGCTTTTCTTGTTGAGGAAGATGAAATTCAGATCTCAAGAAAGCTTTTTGAATGTTCCTAGAGAGAGCAAAAGTTATCCGAGTAGTTCTTCATGATGTATCTTATATACTAGAGTTGTCTTCCCATTGGAGGAAGAAGACAGCTGCACTAAATGTGCGCATAAAGATATTCTTTTTGGATCATTGGTCAGTCATCAACTTTAAATATCTCAACGTGCGAAGCACATTAAATGGGCATTTAATGCGTATTGTAGTTTTCCCGTTGAGAGGCTCCTAGCCATTAGGGTATATCCCGTTAGTTTAACCGACTTAGGTAGCAGCGAAATTCTCTAAGTGTGAGGCCATCTGTTGCTTTACACAGAAGGGCAATCTTAGAGAGCCTCGAGCACTTCTGTCCAATAGAAGTCCAACAGAGGGCCTGAAGGTCTTCTGTCCAGTAGAAGTCCAACAGAGGGCCTAAAGGTCTTCTGTCCAGTCGATTATTCTAATGATTACATGTAGAAATTTCTAATACAATTTTCTAAAGGGGGTTCTATTCTAAAAGCCTAAATAGTCTAGCATCATCAAAATCTAAATACAATTTATTCCTTACAGATAGGACCGGTAGACAACCCGGGTGTTCATGTAATGTGGATAATATTTTTGAATTGAAGAATAACTGGTTTTGGAGAATTAATTATGGATAAGTATTTGTTGGAATATGAAATCATTATGGATAAGTATTCAAAAGTTATTTTGAGAAAGTTGATATGTTGAAAGTTAAAGTGTGTTGAGTATATAAAGTTTATAGTTTTAATGTTGAATCAGGTTGTTTTGAATGATGAATGTGATTTTAAACTTAAAAATTGTATTTTGAGAACTAAATGGATTTTTGAATCTATACGTTAAGTATTAAAAATTATTTTTGGCAAATTATATTATTTTACGGGGTTGCATAGGTCTTACTTAGCTAAAAGGCTAATTTTTGCTTCCTTTTCTTTGTTTTGTTTTCTGCACTTTATTTGATGCAGGTGATGAAGAGTATGCTTGATGAAGAGAGCCTCATTAGAACACCTAGACTAGTTACTAGTTACATTATTAAATTCAGATTTTCAGAACTTGTTATTGTTTTATTGACCTTCAGTTTTGAGCTTAGCACTTATGATTGTTTTTGGACGGTGGTTTAGCCTGTGCATTCGGTTTTGTGACAACCGAATGTGGCGGTAACACGCATTGAATATTATGTTTCCGTTGTAATTTAAACTGTTTTGAATTTAAATGTTTTTGGGAAATTCTTGTTATACTTGCTATAATTAGCATCTATTTTGGGTATGAATTTGGGGGTGTTACATCCCTGGTCAAAGACTGTGACCATCTTCCAAGACTCTTCAGATCTTGGAGGAGGTCGAAGATTGTGCTCAGGGTTTCCCCTAGGGTTGGATGTTACATGTAGCTTAAATTGAACAAGGTTGTAGAGCGGAAGCCCAACTTGAAATCGGAACTAAATTCTCTTCCCATGTTTTTCTCGATTGGGCAGTTCTAAATACAGCTATAAAATTGATATTCCTAATCACGTAATTAAATTTTAATAAAAACTATTTTGAATGTAGTCTAATTTACCCCGATGGAAATCTAACAATATATCGACAGCCCAGACACTAATGAACCAGCCAGCACATGTCCTCTGCCGGAGCCGACCTTCCACAAGTCACAACTGTCCATGGCCACTATAGTCATTAGTGGTGCAACACTGCCTCTCGCCGTCTACACCTTTGTCTCTGCCACTACAATCTCTACGCAACATCCGCGCTATGCCACTACTGCACTTGGTCATCAGGCTGAATGTATCATGGGAAGCCGCAAGAGCCGTAGGAGTCATGGAAAATTTCTTTATCACATCTTTGTTTATGTGGACAGTTCCTATTGCAATTCTACATGGTTTCAATCATAATTTATTTCCTGGTATGAGTGACTTCTCTCCCTACTTTCTAACACTATTCATGGGTTTCTAGTTGTCATTTCTTTTAATGTCATTATAGCAATGAGAGAAAGCTCAGAGATGCATGAACCAGATCCTAATTCCTTGTGCACATGCCAAAACTAGTAGTGTCAGACTCAGGCGAGATGCTTAAAGGCCATCAAAGTGATACAAAGGAATCATCAACAACACACTCAAAACACAAATAGGTTGACATTATGAACAACGAATAATAAGAATGAGGGAAAAGGGGCGCTATTGCAGTGTTGGTTGAACCTATTGTACTATGCTTGTTAATTTCTAATGGATTTGCAAAGCCCTGTATGAAGAGCTTGACTGCCATGCTTTTGGAAAGATGTACGAAAAATTCACCCATTTCAAACGAGGGTACCAACTTAAAAGGAGTGTGTATTTGTTATCGAAAAATTAAACAACCGTGTGGACAAATTAAATCGTTTTTTGGTTTTCCCTGGTTTAATTTGAGGCATATGCAAATGTCTGGCTGAGTGGGGATAAAGACGAGCAAGGCTGGTCTAAGTCCGTCGGGGATGGGGGAGAAAGAAAAGCAAGGTCCGTATATGTCTAACGGTTTAAGCCTGAAAAAGAAGGGTATAGCTCAGGAAGACGAGGGTGTTGAAGATAGAACTATGGATATGTAGTCGATTCAATTATTCACAAACATGCTCTTATTATAATGAGTGTGTTCTACAAAATGTACAATCATTGGTATTGTTGCTATGACACCTATGTGTAGCTCACAATTGTGATGAAATGTTACGATTTAAAAATGGGAAAACTTTCAATTACGCCCTCATACTATAGGCAAACCGTCAGTTACGCCCATGTACTTTACAAACGATCAATTGAGCCCGCCAAGTCTCCAAAAACACTCAATTAAGTCTATGTTACCGGTTGTCTCCCGGTTTGCCTGTTGCTCGCTGACATGGCCGCTTAGGTGGAAGTCATCTAAGTCAATATTTTTAAACACATCAGCCCCTTCCCCATCCATCCCCAACCTTGATTCGAAGGTTTGTGATAGACTGATAGTTGCTTTAAAGTTTAAACCTATATGCCAGGGGAAGGGAAGCAGCCGCCACCTCCGCTGGTAAAGAAGAAAGCTTGTGGGCTGAGATAGGAATGATGTTGAGGGTGTTTTGGGTTAAGCAAAGAAGAGGATGAAAGCAAAGTGGGGTTGAAATTGGAAGAGACACAACTGCTTTCATTTCCGATCTGAACTTCAGATTTGTTCTGCCGCCGGAGTTCGTGGAAGAGACGAAGCACATGGGGGCGCTGGCGAGTTGGTGCTCGCATGAAAGGGTGTTGACCCATCCCTCCGTAGGCGGGTTCTTGACCCATATCGGCTGGGACTCGACGGTGGAGAACATCTGCAACGGTGTGCCGATGCTCTGCTGGCCATTTTTTGCTGAGCAGCCGATAAAGTGTCGGATGGCTTGCACGGAGTGGGGGATTGGAATGGAGATTGAGGGGGATGTGAAGAGGGAGAAAGTGGAGGGGCTTGTGAGGCAGTTGATGGAGGGGGAGAAGGGGAGGGAGATGAAGAAGAAAGCCATGGAATGGAAGAAGATGGCTAAAGATGCTGTTATGTTTCCAACTGCTTCATCTCTGCCGCCGGGCTATGGACCATGTTGGTGAAGGAGCCGAAGGATAGGGAAGGATGGGAAAGGATAGGGAAAGAGAAAGAGGCTGATATGTTAAAAAAAATTGACTCAGCGTATTAGATGGGTAAATGGCTTCCACGTAAGCGGCCATGTCAGCGAGCAACAGGCAAACCGGGAGACAACCGGTAACATAGACTTAATTGAGTGTTTTTGGAGACTTGGCGCACTCAATTGATTTTTTCTAAAGTACAAGGGCGTAATTGACGGTTCACCTATAATACAAGGGCGTAATTGATAGTTTTCCCTTTAAAAATTTATATAACTTTGACAATTGTTTATGATTAAATTGAATTCTTTTAATTAATTGCTCATCAATGTCGGACTTCACCGCCGTGATACAATGATAGTGATGTGGTGTATTGGTGTCAATCTTTTCTTTTTTTTACAATCGGATTTATGTGCATTATTCCATGGAATTCATATGAGTGAATTGCAAAATTTCATCAAAGTCCCGTCACGCGTGAAAACTCATTCCAGTCGTTCTAAAATGTCACGAACAATTTATATTCCCTTAAAATTGCTCTTTGAGCTTCTCGGCCTTGGAGAAGTGATAATAGGTGAGGTGTAATCTACAAATGGCGGAAGTCTCACTCTCACTGCGTTAGAAGATCTCAGTCCAGCAAACACTGGAGTGTGGTCTCTCCATCCCCTCGCGCGTCAATAGTTCGCCTGTTAACCTTCCGCCATCTCTTTCGACTTCCAATCTTCACACACCCATCAAGCAAACAGGTTAGATTTTAGCACATTCGCTCAAGCATTCAGCGATTTAAACTTTATTCTGCTTTCCGTTTTGCTGTTCTTCTTGTATTTTAAGATAGCTGTTTTTGTTCTCCCCCTTGACTTTGCATTTTAGGGTTCGTCTGTTTCGCGCGACTTTGAATTTAGGGTTTCTGTGGAATTTCAGCTGCCGCCGGTTCTCTAGCCAATGGATGCCGCGGCTGGGGCTGTTGCTGCACGCGGAGCCGGCATCCCTCTTCCAGTTTCCTCACCCCAGGCTTCTCGCAAGGAATGGCGCGCTGTACCTGAACAATCGCTGAGGAACTCTACTAGCGAGGTACTAGAAACGCTACACTACACATCTTAAAGAGTTAAAGTTTACTCAGATCACGGGTTTTTCTTTCTTCATTTTTTTGCTCTGAAATATATTTGTTCTTTAGATTGATCGTTCAAAGTTAGGGCAGTCCGACGAGAGATTGATATACGAGGTAAAATGTATTTCTTTTCCCTTTCTTTCAGTTTTATCCTAGTATTTTTCTCGTTGGTTCTCTTTATGAGGCTATGTTTGGATATTAATGGGACGGGGATGAAATTGAAGATGTTTTGCTGTTTTCTCAAAGGTGCAGCACGGGAGAGAACCTGCGGATGTGGACTTCTGCTCAGTCGCCATTGATGGAAGCCCGGACAGTGATCTTCTGCAGCAGAGGCTTCATACTGTTGCCAAACAAAGAGATGAGTTGCAGCAGATGGAGATTGAGCTCCAGGCTCAAATCATTACTAGGTCACAGATTATGGAACTGCGTAAAGTTTTTGAGGCTGAAGTCAAAGAGCAGGCAAATGCCAATATGAAATATCAGGTCTGTACAGTTTTTACTTGTTAGCAAATATTTTTGGACAAATAAACACTTGTTTGAAAATATTATGGACTTCGATAATTATAAGGCTGTTTATACTACATACTACGTAGTATTATTCAGTAATAGTTACACTTAATCAGGTATCTCTCTTTGAAATTTACTGTACAATTTTAAAAACTAAGCTAAGAAGTTGTTGAACTGAAAATATCGGATTTGAATACGGAAAAAGCTGTTATTATAGAATTTAAATAAATAAAATAGATTTGCGTCGCGTGGTCAACCACACGTACAATTGAAGGTACATAAAGATGCAACAGAAGGTGTAAGATAAGAAATGTAAGATACGAAAAATGTTTCATGTTATATATATTTGAACTTCTTTTAATGAATTATGAATGAATATCATGGACATGAAGGAGCAACTGCGTGAAAGGGACCAGAAGATATTTGAGTTGGAAAGAAGAATGGAAGAGAAAGAGAGAGAGTTGCAGGCTGTAAGATTGGACAATGAAGCGGTTGGTTTGATACTTTGATAAGATTACATATTCTTTAATTATCTTTTATTGAATGGAATTTGAACATCAAATTTTTTATGGGTCATTAAAAGAAAGTTCTGCTTTTGCTAAATCTATTCGTGGCAGGCTTGGGCTAAAGAGGATCTACTGAGAGAACAAAACAAAGAATTGCAAACGTATAGGTACCATATGTATGCCCCATGACTCTGCATCCCATGTTATGTTTAATTCAAGTACAAACTGACAAATATTCTACCATATTAGTTTATATTCCTATCCTTCTTTATGGAAGATAATCTTATTTTCATGCCAATAAGGCCCAATGTAATAACTTAATAAGTATGCCTGCACTGTGGGAAGCTTTTACTTATTAAGCGATATCCTTACTGTAAATGATTTTTGAGTGATTGAAACTTGTAATAAGTTCTTAAATTGGTGACTGCTGAGGTTTTAGCTTTATTGATTTGTTTCCAGCATGGCTCATAACTTTGCAGGAGAGAGAGGGACAACTCTGAAGCTGAAAGAGCTCAGAATATTAAACAAATTCACGAACTACAGGAGCATATTCAAGAAAAAGAACGTCAATTCATGGAACTGCAGGAACAGGTCAGTCACTACACATGTGCCATAACTTCAGAAAATAGTTTAACTGCTTTGCTGTATCTTAACACTTTACAGACACTATGTCTATATACTGACAACAATGTTATCTTTTACTCCGTATTATATACTTGCTGCAGCCTAGAACTTTGCAGTCTGACAATTTGAATGTTCTTCATTGTTCAGAACAGAATTGCTAAGGAAACCATGAGTTACAAAGATGAACAGATGCGGGAGGCCCAAGCTTGGATGAGTCGTGCTCAGGATTTCATTGCATTGCAGCAAGCTGAACTGCGTGAACGGGCAGAGCAGTATAATCAGCTATGGCTTGGTTCTCAGAGACAGGTTATTAACCTTTTCATATAGTTGCTTTTGCAGGCGGAGAGACCGCATTTGTCTTTTCATTTTCATTTAGTATAGTAGTTAAGCCCAGTGGGTGATTAATTAGATTATTTTTAGTTTGGCGAGATGGAACATATGCACCTGCATTTGCAGCAGCTCCAAATAGAACTAACAGAGGTAAAAGAAAGAAATGGCCCTTCCACAGATTGTTCCCAAGCCTCAAAGGAAACTGCAAAAGATACTTCACAGCATGGGCTGGAAAAAGGAAACGAACATAATGAAAGTGCTAGTAATGGGGTTTCTCCTGCAAACTCTGGACATGTGCCAAATGGAAATGCTGAAACTGCCCTGCCGTTGTCTTCTTTTGGGAATCTGTCAACTCAGGTAGAACTTCATGTCTTCTTCCTTCTCTATACCCCAACAGTGGAACATGCTATGATCATTAATAAAAGTAATATTTGGCATACACTTTCTTGCAGACAATGCTGTTTCCTATTTGTCTAATAAAGTTTTTTTTTGCGTAGTTAAAAAGTAAATAGCATATAACAATGGCTGTTTCTAGCCTCATCTCATTAATCATTTGTAAAAATGTTGCGACATTAAGGGCATTCGGTACCAAACTTTGCCACTATTTTTTTTGCATGGATTTGCGGTGTTAACCAATTTGATTGACACTATAAATGTCATTCTACTGACTCCGGATAATTTTGGATTAAGGCTGTAATGATGAAAAGTTTAGAGTAACCATATTTAATTCATTCAAAATAATAAACCTAATTATTCAATGTTATCATTTGCAAAGCATTGGCGTTCTCAACCCAACTGAGGATGACGTCATTGCAGAGTGTGCGTGTTGGAATGAAGCTTGATGCTAGAGCCAAGGGTAAATAGCGCGAGTCAAAAACAGCATTTTTATTGAATAAATGAGCCGCATCTTATCACCCTTGGCTGTAGCATTGGAGAGATCATAACATATGTGTGGAATGTGAATTCATTAGTTATAGATATGAGAGTCCAATGATGCTTTTTTGGCTTTTTGGTACTCTTAGTACTATGTATCGACTTCATTTCACTACACAAGCAAATGGCATTGTTGGAGTACCTTTGTTGTGTATAAAAACTAATGCGTGGCTTAAATGAGCTGTGTTTGATTTTTAAATGCTTTTGCTACATTCATCTCCAAAGCAAATCACCAGATTTTTCATGGAGATAGATATGCTAATACCTCACCTTTCTTGATGGCTTAGAAAAGCAATTGTCGTTAGTTTGTTGATGGCAGTGGATGATATGTATAGTGATATAAGGGAGGATTTGACTTTGCACCTCATTTTTGGGTGAAATAGGTCTTTGATCCCCATTTTCAAAAAAATAATGCATGGAGGACCCTATTGGTTCAGAAATTAATGAAGGAATGAGGTGCTAATATTAATTTTTTTAAACGCAACAGGTGCACACATTTTTTTAAATGGGGTGCAAAGTCTAATTATGCCCAAAAATGGGGTGCTATGTCATATTGTACCCACTAATAGTAAGAGTTGGTAAGTTTATTCATAAACTGATAATTATTTTAAAATAAATAATAATGATTCCAACAAATATCTTTATGTGTTGAAAGGACACAATTTAATATCTATTTTGTTAATGGTAATTTAACGATGTGGTGGATTATGATACACCATTTATAACCCATTTGGATTTTTTTAAATATGTCTTTGGTATTATCTACTTCTTTGATTCTATTTTTTTTTCTTGAAAGTGCTGGCATAACAATATCATTTTCGTTTGATGTGTCAGAATGATGCCCATGGTGTTCCCCTTGCTCCTTCCTCTTTACTTGGGATGCCTACTTTCATTCAACCAGGTCAAATTGCAGAACCGCATCCATATTTAGTGCATCAACAGGGAGTCCCTTCTTCAATACCTACACAGATTCCTCAGCCTCATCATCTTGGGCATTTCCACTCTGTACCTGCAGTACCGTCTTTCCAACACTGGCCCAATCAACAGGTAGTAGATTCAGATTGATACTTTATCCAACTCTCTGGCTAATTGCTTTTCTGTTGTGTTTAAGGTTTCATCAGAGGATGCCTCGCTGATGTCTGTTCACAGTCAATATCATCTCCAAACAGAATCAGTGTTGCTGACACCAGATTCAAATTTCGAATATGAAGCATCTATAAATGGAAAAGTGCCTCTTCTAGAAATTGAACCGAAGGCTTCTTTTGGGGCTTCAAATGAATTGGGGCAACAGGTAGGCATATATCATATGCTTTGTTTTATGTTTTTAACTATTAATGTAAGTTGCTTTGTTTTCTTCATCCATCTAAAGCTTTTTCTTCAGTTTGTAGGTGAAAATTGCATCCCTAGTCTCCAAACCCAGCAGCATACATTGCAGCATATCTCTACACAGTTTCATGATGCATTGAGGCTTGATCAGCATGAACACAGTAATGAGTTTCAGGTATTGTTGTTTGGATTTATTGATTCTATTCTAATTTTATCCAAGGCATTTCAAATGAATAATTTTGGGGTCTTTTGATGAGTGGTGTATATACTTTCGTGGTTGATACAATTTCACTTTCTTAGAAGCAAATTTTAATTACATAAGCGTATTAAATAAGTGATGGATCGAGTATGTATTTATACTTGATTTAAGTTGCAAATGGACAAGTATCTTTAAAGAAACCAGTCTATATTATGTGCAAAGATGTAATTGTTAATTTGTTATATTTTATCAGTTGTATATTAAATTAAGATTTTGATTATTTGTGGTCGATTGAATCTTTTTCAAACATGAAAAAAATTAAACAAAACTATATAAATTCATTTTAAACTTGTTTTAGGCTTTAAAAATGCAAAAACAAAACAAAAACTACTAGAATGTATTTGATTCCTTGCCATTTAGCAATGGGGTTTTTCCTTAAACATTACCAATAAAAAACTCATGGACACAAATATTACTTACTAACTATTAGTGACTATAATTGTATTTTAATTTACATCGTAGTAACTTACGTATAGTTACTACGATGTAATTAAGAAAACAATTATAGTCACTAATAGTTACTAAGTAATATTTTTGTCCACCACAGTTTAAAGAGTAATATTAATGGAATTTTTCAGGATGTTAACACCCAAGGAGTACACCATCCTGTCCCTCCCTGTGCTTATTGTTTCCCTCTCGCCATTAATAAGTAATGTTTAATTTATTAATACATATACTACACCAATTGGGGAAGTTTTAGCAGCCCTGTGCACATTTGCATCCCCGCAAGTTGAGGGTTGGGGGACAAGAGGAGGCCGCTCCCTTGTAAATAAATACGTAGTACGTAGTATATTTCATATAAATTACGAAATATACACCAAGTCACCAATATGTATATAAATATATTTCACACACACACACATATTGGGGTTGGGCCGTTTGGGGGGGGGTGTGAGACATGAGAGGAGATTCCCCTTGATCTTAATCCCATCTTTCAGTGTAAAACTATTGATGATTAACATTTTTTAAATACTGATTTGCAGGGGAAAGATTTAAGTACTTCGGATAATCATGGGGTAAAGTCAGGAGGGGTTGTTATAACTAGAGAAGTTAGCTCTGCTAGTGATAATAAAAAGTCATCACCAGAAGTTCCAGATCAGACTAGTCATTTAAATGACAAAGTAACAGATGCCACCCAGAGTAATGCTGCTGGTGTGCCTGAAAGATTGATTTGCGGGGGTCAGAAAAATGCACATGCAGTTGCTGGGAAAGCAGCTGAACCTGATAACCTACTCGGGGAACAAGCACTACTGGCATGCATAGTTCGCACAATTCCACCTGGTTCTAGTGGTAGAATTAGAATTAGCACAACGGTTAGCTACCTACATTGATGATTTCATTTACATCTTTTATAAACTTTAGGCATAAACGATTGGTTCTATGTGTGGTGGACATGCAGCTCCCAAATAGGCTGGGGAAAATGCTTTCTCCCTTACATTGGCATGATTACAAGAAGAAATTTGGGAAACTTGATGACTTTGTAGCCAGCCATCCTGAAGTATGTGTCCCTCTTTAAAGAAAGATAAAATCCTATTTTTCCTGAGTGTACCTTATTCTGATTTCATATTTTTCAGCTATTTGTGATTGATGAAGACTACATCCAGCTCCGAGAAGGTGCTCAAGAAATCATAGCAGCCACATCAGCCGCAGCCAAAGTTGCTGCCGCCGCAGCTGCAGCTGCCGCCACATCATCATACTACCCTTCGCATCTGCCTTCCGTTGCTGTCACTCCAATGGCTCCTTCACAGAGGATGAAGATTTTAATGAAACCAAAAAATTCGGCAGATCTGAGTGCTTCTAGGTCTAGTAACGGTTCATCTTCAGTACAATTCTCTACGAGTGAAGGAATTAATGATGACAAAAACGATATTTCTCCCAGAAAGGGCTCATCGTCATGGAAACCTGCTTCAAATTTAGCTGGCAAACAGCAAGAAAGGTAATAACATCATGTTTGACATGATAGGGAGTTCAAATCTTATATTGAGATTGTTGGAAACCATAAAATATTGTAATCATAATAACGAGCCAATGTTATATATTTGTCAGGAACAGCCGGTTTCCATCAAGCTCTAGAAGATAGTTCCTTTTCCTTGGTAAAGTTGGTCTTTCAGTCATTATTATTATTATTTAATTATGAATATCCCATTTATAATTTGATTTTTAAGTAGAAGTACTCTTAACTTCGCATCTATTTGTTTATAGCTTAACGGGGAAACATGGCTGCTTTCTCCACCCCTGTCTTGATTTGAGTTTTATTGGATTCTGCAGGAGGGGATCTTTCTGAGGACAGCTTCAAATTAAGCTGTTGAATTTCTGGAGAATGAAGTTGTGCGATGTATAATACACTTAGAAATCAGAGTGTGCAGATCAATATCGTTATTATCATGATGATTGGAAAAAAATCTATCTTGAGTTTTTTCAGGGATTTTCTCCCCCCTCCCCTATCTCTTTTGTCCCGTTACAGCCGGCTGAGTAGCATTGACAACCTATGTAAACTGGTGCCTTTTGGGGAATTATTATTAAACTAATCGCATGGCTCATCTTGTTAGAATGTTTTTTCACAGCAAAGTTACTTCTCAACTAATTAATGAGAATACACCTAAAAGTTGCAGCTTTTACGCAATCTTTGCTTAGTTGCAGATTAGATCTCTACAGATATATGTACATTTTTACTGTATTGATTAGCCATCCAGTTTACAATTATAGTAAATTAATTAAATATCAATGTACTAATAAGAATAGTAATAATGGTAATAATAACAAGTAACAACACTACTACCATAGTTGTTACGGCATCGCCTAGTCGGCGACTAGGCGTCCTGGCGGTGGAAAGTGGTCGCCAAGCATCATCGCCTCGCCTGAAGACCAGGTGACTTCATCGTCGTCCAGGCGTAGGTTAGGCGAAAGGCGACACCAGAAAAGAGTAGAACTGACATAACCCAAAACTAAAAAAGATTTATAATGTAAATATAAAGCCTTCGGTTGAAGTCCAGTTGAATCTCAAAAGATGTCAGACGAGTTTAAGAATTCAAGTCGCATAGTTGCATCTAAGTCCAGGAGAATAGAAAATCGTTAATCAAAATTCTGCAGGTCTTCTTTCTATGTTTTCATGTTTTTCCCTATATGTCTTTATATGCTGCATACTTGTGTTTGTTGTATGCACCACCTTTACAAATTTTTTATGTTGGATTTAACATTTTAGATTTTTTTTTTTTCAAATTTTGATTTACGCTGGCTTTGATTTAGTAAACCCTATTTTGAATTATTAATTGTTGCTTCCAAAACTAGGTAATGCATATTTTTATTTGTATGATATAATATATAATAAAATTACAAATTGGAGATATCTTTAAATATATTATTTTACATATTTAAATATTACATATGGTGTGACTAGTCGCCTAATTGTCGCCTAGGCGATAAGGCGGTCAGCTAGTGCCGCGCCTCGCCTTATCGCCGTGACAAGTATGACTACTACTGCTACCGATAAGAACAACAACAACAATATAATAATAATAATAATAATTATTATTATTATTATTATTGTAAACATTTTTTCTCATTTTGGAATGTTTGCACTTGGATTCAAATTTTCTAGGGCCAGTCTGCTAAGTATACTATGGTTTGGGCGGTTTTTTTATAGGTTAGGACGGTTTCTCTAACTTATTGCTTTGGCACTCGTAAGTCGTAATCCTATATCATTTTATTGGTTTACATTCAACAGTTTGTCTACAACTTTTTAAACCTAAGTAGCATGGAAACGGGAAACGTGAAACGTGAAAACGAAAACGGGAAACACGAGAAACGTAATTTCTAAAAAATATAGGACACGAAACGTGGGGGAAACGCGTAAATATTATAAAATATAAGGATATATTTATAAATATTTTTTTAATATATGTACACAAGTTTTTCCATATGCACATGTTTTTTTAATATAATTTGTTCAGTAACCAAATAATAAAATCACTCTACATGTTCAAATTTAGATATTATTTTATATTAGTACATAATTAAACATAAAATGTACGGAGTAATACATTTCTAGCAATACATTGCGTTACGAAATGTAACAAGTGTTGCCGCTGAGAAATACCACAAAAATTCACTATAAAAATTATTTTCCACCACAGAATCTTTTGAAAAAGAAAAAAATGGAATCCGAGGTTTCCGAAATGTAGTGAAACGGGTTTCCAAATTTTTCTTAATTACGGAAACGGCCCCGAAACGGGAATTTGAAGTTTCCGAAACGCTTCCGAGTTTCCGAAACGTGAAAACGTGAGCTATGGAGAGTTTTCGTGCTTCCTAGTTTTAAACATTTTTATTTGTTCAAGGATGGCTCATATTTTCACCTAAATGTTCATATATAAGAGGAGATTACTCGTATAGGAGTAGAATAATAACGGACTAACGGTACAGAAATAGGGGTAGATGTCTAAAATTCTTAAAATAAGAGTAAAAAATAATAAAAATGCCCTTTTAGGCCTTTACTCCTTTTAGGGTATGAAATGAAATTATGAATGTGATTTGCAATCAATTGTCTACAGTTGATCCTATGCGGCCTTCGTCAAGAGGCCATCAGTCCATTACTAAATCTTACGTGAGATTCATAAATTTACCCTAAATAATGAAACGATTGACAAATTTTAAACGCTAAAGGGCAGTTTTGTGCAATTCTATGTTGTCAATTCACTATCTATATCCCCACAAGGAGACTCAGGAGAGTAACAATAACAATTAGTCTACCTGGTAATGGACATCAATATTTCATTTAATCAATCCTAATATTGTCGATTTGTAGTGTATTTAGAAGTTCAAAATCCTTTAATCTTCTACATAATACGGAGTAGTTAATACTAGTTCAATACCCAGGGCATGCCTCAATAGTGCCACTTTGATATAAAATTAGTCTTCAACTCCCTTTTTAACCCAATTTGATCTTCAACAATGTAGTTTTAAATTAAATTCAAATTCCAAATATACTCAATCTATGTTTATGGTTGTTTATTGGGAACTTTAACCCCTTGGTGTTTTGGTAACTTCACATATTCACATTTTTGTAAGTTGAACTTTGTATGTACTTTGAGGCTCATTGACGCTCGGGCATATATGAGTATTAAGTGTGAATTTTTAGACTAGATATCTTTCTATTTAAAGAGAAAATATTGTCAGAAAATACATACATTTCATATTTGCATTGCGGAAATGCTTTGATAGTTCACTGGAATACCATTAGTGGCATCTAAAGAGAAGAGAGAGCCAAATATAGAGAAAATATAAGATATATTAATGAGGTTTCAAACCATTTACATCTGCCCCAAGGGGGTATTTATGCATGTAATAAAAATTTCAAGTGCATTAAATGCACATATAATTTAAGTGATACATGGAAGAATGTGATACATGGCGCTTGATGAGAACTGCTGAGTAGTGGATGATGGATCACAGATTCTCGTTCTTGTTGCCATTCTGTATTATTATATTGCTAGTATGTCATCTTATCTGGTTGATTCTTCATTGGAGACAATGTATGTATGCATCAAGACTGAAGGGTTTGTACAAACCGAAGCTCGGTCATGAACGGTCCGTTTAAGTAGTCTACTTGTCTTTTGGGATGATTTGTGAAGGCTGTCCCTCAGCCAAACGAAGTCTTGGCCAAGGATTTAGTCTAGTCACTTATTTGGGCTGCTTGCATATGTTCTTAAGTGTTTGAGCTGTGAGTCTGAGTTCGTATACTCTATCATGTTCTATTAATTAAAAATGTAATTGAGAATGTTGAGATTAATTAGAAATGATGTTTTCTCGTATGACTTATATCAATGATAAGGCTACCCAATCATTTGATTAAGTTGGACAGTTGGTTTACCTTTGCGTGTATATATCTTTAACTTAAAACCAAACCTTATTGATGAGAAGTATAGAACAAATGGTAGGTGTAGTAAGTGTGAGTTAAAGCCTATGTTTGGTTAGTCATATATAGTTTTAATAGTGTGTAGAGGTTGAGTGAAGTACCTTTACTGTCAACCAATTATGATGAATGCAATATTATTTTGACATGGTAAAAGGCTGCCTTCATTCACCATAAATATTGTGTGAAACTGTGAACTATTAAAGAATGAAAAATGATGCTTCTTGTTGCACATCATAATGGGACAAATCACAAATGTGTCATCATAGAAGAGGGTCGTTGAGATGTTTCTATGACCTCTTACCCTTTAAAAGTTTTAACCAAAACAAATTAAGAAGAGCCAGCTATGTGAGGGGCTCAAATAATCAATTTGAATAACAACCATTATTGAAGTCTTTGTACACATTTTTTAAACCAAACACAAATATGGATGTGTTATATTACCTGCCAGTTACAATGGTGGTTGGTCCTTATGCCATATTTACTATCCAGAGGGCTAAAGTATTAAAAAGAAACTGTATGTATCTATATCTATATATACGCGCACAATTTTTTTAGGAGGCCAAAACCCTCTCCACTCCTTCCACCACTGTCCGAGGAATTTTGAGGCCCCGACTTCAAATGTAAAAAAAACTCAATCTAAATGTCTATACTCATATCAATTGAATACTCATTCAGCAGTGCAATTCATTTTTTTTAAAGTTATTTGATACTCAATTTAAAGTAACAAAACTCGTTACTACTGCATAACACTCATGAATTTTTAAAAAATTAGGCCCAATAAATTGTGAGGCTTTGTAACTGGTTTAACGTCTTCAAAAACTCCACTGACTCCTTCCCTTCTCCATTGAAGGTGGCGTACACAATCATTAACATACATGTTCATTCACGCACATTTTGTTTATAAGCAATTAGTGCACTTTTAACATTGGATTGTTATTAAAAGTTATCCATATTCATCATCATAAATCATAATGTTGCATTTTTTAGCAATAAAATTGATTTCATTCTTACGTTTATCCAAATCCACAATTATGATGAGTTAATTTCCATTTCGTTTGAGAATTCATAGTTGCGGATCTCGTCTTATTAGTCAAGTTTTTATCAAATAAATAACTTTGGATTGAATTAAATAATACCTTAAGTTGTTCTTTTTAATTAATTTCAAATCACTAAGCAGAATTATTTAACTATTTTTCATATATTTTTCTTTGTTTTATTCTTTTTTATCAACAAATTCGGTTTGGTAACCTCAATTCTCAACTTATTAGCTTTATGAGACAATTTTTTTAACAAACAATAGATATTGATTTCATGTGTTGAATTGTGTAATAATTAAAATAAGTAAGATTAAAATTACTTTTTTGCCTAATTTGTTAAAATTACAGTATAAGAACCTTTTGATAGATAGCGGGTTATGTTAGCGTGTTGTCAATAGCGGATTCTGTCTGCGGGTCTGACCAGCGGAATAAGTTGACGGGTTGTCAGAAGATGTTTGGTAATTAAGATGTTTGTCTATAAAATTAGTAGAAAACGCTATTTTTTAAAACGCCAACTCAAAACTCTCCTATTAACAGCGCTTTCATTTCAACGTTTTCGTCTAAAACGCGGATGCCGAACAACTATTTATCAAACAATTTTTTCACTTATTGAAAACGCTAAAAGTAAACAAATCCGTTACCAAATACTACCTCCGTCCCAAAAAACTTTGCCATTTTCAAAAATTTGAACCTTGATTTTGA